TTCACTTTCAAGAAGATAAACCAGAATGACCAAAATACCCCTGACTCAAGCACTCTAACAATATATATATATATATATATATATATATATATATATATTTCTTTGTTCTACCACTTAGGCTGATGTTAGGATAGTGCTCCTTGAAGTGCAATGAAGTCTACTAACCTAGGCCAGGGGCATTCTTAGATATATTAACCCCTTTCGTCTCTCCTCTCTTGACAAGAACCAGGGAGGAGTTTGGAGATTATTGCTTGTTCCTTTTAGTCTCACATTATGGAAAGCCCTTGGTTTGGTTGATAGGGATGGCTGGGGTTTTGATGATTTGCTTGCTGTTTGTCAAGCCATTCATGGTTGATTTTTTACATATTTCAGTTTTGCAGCGCTTGCCTTGGGGGTTATGTGTGGGATTGCTTTTCTTTGTATGTTCCTCATTGTTTAGCTGTTCTTTGTTTCACTTTTTGGCTGTTTACCTGTATACTTCTTCTGTATCTTTCTTCCCTTAATTCAGTTTTTGATTTGTTATTTATCAAGAGAAAAAGGCAATTATGTTTTTCCAGTTCATCTATCCTAATTCTACTAGTGATGCTCCTTGGCTTGAATAAACAACAAGGTTGCCCCTTGGCAAACAAGTTTGTTCCTGTTTCAAAAATAGGAATTGATTTATTCCCTCTACATATTGTACAGGATCAGGAGATGGAACTTTGCATCCATTGAACATCAGTGAGAGAAATGTGGTGTGGTTTTATTTTTGTTCCATATACAAGTAAAAAATATATTTGTTTATACATGTGAATATGCACATATTGCAGTAAGGTTAAGGTTTTAGAGTTTAGAGTCTGCATCAATTTCTATGTTTGAAAATTCTTTGAAATGTTAACTATTGTGAATTTGTATAAGGTTAACGTGAATTGTTGAATCTTTGGAATTGTTTAATATATAAAGAAAATCTTGAATGTGGATTTGAATCTGAGAGCAGCCATTTTGTGCGAAACAAAGGGTAGTGGGTTGGGTCTGTAGTGTGTATCCAGTTCACCCTTCCTCAATGCCCCAGAAAACTGGGACCAACATTGGGTAATGGCATTTCTATAAAGAGAATCTTGGAATTCTTGAATGTTTTCAAGATTTGGAACCTTGAGGTAACTACATTTTATTGGTTAGGGAAGTTTAACTTGAACATGACCGCAACCTGGGGAAGTTTTTGGAACCAAATCTGACCCTTTGCCATCCCTATTTTGGACCCAAATTCACTGGTGTCTGAACTGTTATTACCTTGATTTGAGGAAGGTGGATGGTTTGCATTTGATAGGGTTCTCTCAAAGTGCTGAATCTATTTGTTGCTGTCTCATTTTAAAAGCTATTTGTAAGTTGTATTTGCAATACTATTGATCAACCCTAGATTGATCAATACTAATAATAGTAAGCTGTCTCATTTTAAAATCTATTTGTTGCTGTCTCATTTGATAGGGTTCTCTCAAAGTGTTGATCAATCTGATCGAACCAACAGTCACATTGGTGTGGCAACTTGCTTGAACTTGAACTGGGATCCCTGAAAAGGAAAGAGAAGATGAATTGATCTGGAGACCTGATCCAAAAGGCAACTTCTGGAGATCTGATCCAAAAGGCAACTTCTGGAGATCTGATCCAAAAGGCAACTTCTCCATCAAGACTGCATATAGGTTGCAAGCTCTTTCTGGTGAAGAGTCCACGAGGACTCATCATGAGGTTATGAAAATCTGGACTTAAATTGTCCCCTTCACAATAGAATTTCCTCTAAAGTATTCTTAAAAAGAAGGGGCCTGAATTTAGACGAAGGCTGTGATTTCTGTGGAGAGACTGAAGACATCAATCACATATTCTTAAGATGCAATTTTTCCAATCAGGTGTGGAGCATTCTGGGAGATCCAAGAGTTATACCCTCTTTAGAAGACCAAACAATATTTGACTGGTGGAACTGTAGAGAAGATAAAGGGTAGTTTTGTAATTTTATTGTATTTTTATTCTTCTTTCTTGTACTACAATAGGTGTGCACATTAGTGTAAAGCTCTTTTATTTCTTTGTAAGGACAATCTTGTCCATTCACTTGAGTTTAATATAAATACCTCTCTTTTGGGTTGGTTCGATCATATTGATCAACCTAACAGATCTGAACTTGTGTTTGTCTTCTTGCTCTTTCAACTTTTCACAAACTGACATGGTATCAGAGCAGGCTGCTCTCTGATCCATATCTCTTCTTTATTGATCAGTTTGAGAGCTATCATTATTGCCGATTGGTTCTAGACTGTTTTGATCTTTCCAGGGGCCATTTCTTTGTGTTTTGCGCATCTAATAAGAGAGATTTCATTAGATCTCTCTCATATGACATCAGTTTGCAGTAAAATTTGAAAGGAAGTGTCGCCTAGCCCTCCTCATTACATTCTGAAAATTTTTATTGAGATCCGAGAAGATTTGAGAGAGATCTATACATCTCTTATGGGCAGTTGCAACCAGAATTTCCTTTTCTGGACTGTGTATTCAGTTTTTGCCTATTGCCGTATTTTGGATAATCTCTTGTGATTGTAAGAGGTTTCTTCTCTCAGTTTTAGACTCTCTTGGATTTGTTTATTGCTTATTTTGCTTGCTTCGACCAATTTTTGTTTTGTATTCTTTTTGACATGGCTTTGGAAAAGAATGAAATTATTTCTGTCAAGTTTGATGGAAGCAACTATGCTCTCTGGAAATTCCATTTTCAGTATTTTGTCAAAGGGAAAGGTATGCGGGGTTATATTGATAGTTCCACTCCCATGCCTGATGCCAGTGATGTCAAAGGGTTGAAACAGTGGAAAACTGAGAATGCTCAGGTTACTTCATGGATACTTGGTTCTATCTCTATGGATGTCAGTATTTTGATGAGAAGACTCAAATTAGCCCATGACATGTCCACGTACCTTAAAAAGGTATATCATCAATCAAATATGTCTAGGCAATATAATTTGAGATTGATATCTTCTCTTATGTTCAAGGGGAGAAGCGGATTCAGGAATACTATGCTGGGTTTGTGAATCTTTAGACTGAATATGAACTGGTTCATTTTGGGGATCTGTTTATGGACTGTTGTGTGAAAACCATGAAGAAACACCTCAACAAGAAAAAGACCATGCATTTTTTGATGCACCTTAGACCTGATTATGAGACTCTATGCTCTAGTATACTCAGCAGAGAGCCAGTGCCTGATCTTGATGCAATTCTTGGAGAGTTATTAAGGGAGGAAACTTGTCTCCATACATTGTTTGCACTGGATTAGAAGAAGGAACATGGAATTGATACAGTGTTTTTGGCTACTAAACAGAAAGGTAAGAAAGACTTCTTGAAGATGCAATGTTATGAATGCAAAGAATATGGTCATGTAGCATCCAATTGCAAGAAGAAAAAATTTTGCACCTACTGCAAACAGTAGGGACACATTATAGTGGAATGCCCAACCATGCCTCCCAATAAAGGACAACATAAGGCTTATCAGGTCTCGACTGAGCCAACTTCTATTGATACTGTTGCCTCATCATCAACTCACAAATTAGATGCACAAGGAAATTTGACTGAAGAAAAGATTTGTGAACTCATGTCTTCCGCTATTTCCTCTGCTTTTTTTGCTTTTGGATTAGTTGGTAAGTCTGCTTATTTGTGTTCATCTCCTTCTCACATGTGGATCATTGATTATGGGGCCTCAAATCACATGACTAGGGCCTCCTTTGGTCAGTCTCCTAAACCTTACACCTCTGTCAACCATATTGTTACTGCTAATGAGGATTCTCTACCTGTATGTGGTTGTGATGATTTATTTCTGTCCACTTCTGAGTCCAAACCCTTACATCTTCCAAAAACCTTCTTTGTGCCTAAATTGACAACTAGTCTTATCTCTGTTGGGCAACTTGTTGATGATGGTAATAATGTCTTATTTACTCGTGATGGTTGTTTTATCCAGGACCAATACACTGGGGAGCTGAAGGGGAAGGGGCGTAGGCTTGGAAGACTGTTTGCTCTGGAATTTGAGAATAAGAGAGCTTCACCGGACTCCTGTTTGCTATCTACTACCCCTAGCTTTTCTATTTCTTCTTGTAATAATGTGTGGCACTTATGGTACAAACATTTGGGTCACACTCATGCTAAGAACTTGGGTTACTTATTTTCTTCTGGTTGTTTGCCTATGACTACTTCATTTAAGAATGTTGATAAATCCTGTTTAACTTACTGCTATAGTAAAAGTCATGTTTTACCCTTTCCATCTTCTACTAAACATGCTTCTACACCTTTTTACCTTATTCACAGTGATGTATGGTCATCTCCAGTTATTTCACGCTTGGCTTATAAGTATTTTGTGTTATTCATTGATGACTGTATACATGGGTTTATTTTAGAAGTTTTATCCATGTTTAAGAACTTTCATGCTATGGTAATGACCCAATTTAAAAGTACTATAAGCATTTTGAGGTCAAATTCAGGGGGAGAGTATTATGATGGTGAGCTTCAAACATATCTCAAACAACATGGTATTCAGTTCCAGAGATCTTGCCCAGGTACTCTTCAATAGAATGGAGTATCGAAGCGCAAGAATCGCCACATTGTTAGTATGGTGAGATCCTTGATACAAGACTCTCATGCTCCCCTTATGGGCCTTACCTTTTGGGTAGAGGCGACCCGCACTGCTGTTCACCTCATCAACATTCTTCCTACATCTATCCTTGGGAATTCTTCTCTCCATCAATCCTTATTTCATTGCCCACCAAACCTATCTATACTTCGTGTCTTTGGATGTGTTTGTTTTGTCCATCTCCCTCCCCATGAACGCACTAAGCTAACAGTTCAATCAACTATGTATGCATTCATGGGATATAGTATGAAACACAAGGGATTTTTCTGTTATGATCCCAAAGTCCGTAGATTGCGCATTTCTCGCAATGTCATCTTTCTTGAGAACCTTTCATTCTTTGAACATATTAGTAAATTGTCTGCACCATCCATTTCTATTCTGCATAACTTTGGCTTTGCAAGTGATTGTCCTCCATCTCATCCACTTCAAATTTATTCCAGGAAGCATCCAGTTCGCCCATTGCTTATGCCTCCTCCACTTCCAGCAACAATGACTGGTCACTCCTCTCCATCTATTACTACTGTAAGTACATGTTCTCATCTTGAGGATTTACCTTCATCTATTCCTTTGCGTCGATCATCTCGTATTTCCCGTCCACTTGATCGCTATGGCTTCTTTTCTAGTCATAGTTTCTTTTCAGCTATTTTGTCATCCATAGATATTCCTAAGTCTTACAGCCAGACTGTAGTAGTTAAACATTGAAAAGATGCTATGGATTCAGAGGTTCATGCCTTATTGGAGAATGATACTTGGGAACTTGTCTCTCCTCCCCTAGATGCCTCCATCATTGTTAGCTGATGTGTTTACATTGTGAAACTCAAATGAGATGGTACTCTGGATAGATATAAGGCCCACTTGGTTGCTCAAGGTTACAAGCAAGAGTATGAAATTGACTGTGATGAAATTTTTGGTCCTGTGGCTAAAATGACAATAGTTCGTTTGCTCCTGGCCATTACTGCTCTTAGACAATGGACAATTCACCAGATGGATGTCAAGAATGCCTTCCTCCATGGACATTTACAGGAGACAATTTATATGAATTATGAAACCACCTCCCGGTTACTATGACAACTCTCTGTTGGTGTATAAACTGAAGAAATCTCTATATGGTCTTAAGCAAACTCCACGATCTTGGTTTGACTGCTTCCGTACAGTAGTGTTGGAGGTTGGTTTTCAATAGAGTGCTTCAGATTACTCTCTTTTTACTCTCAAGCGAGCTCAGGGATTCACTCTTCTTTTAGTTTATGTTGATGATATCCTTATCACTGGAGATGATGTGGACGGTATTAACAATCTGAAGCTTTTGCTTAGTAACTCCTTCAAAATGCAAGATCTTGGTCCAGTGACCTACTTTCTTGGGCTTGAAATTCAAAGATGTCATCAAGGTTATTTTGTCAACCAACAGAAATATGATTTTGATTTGGTGACTCTTGCTTGCTTGACTGACTCTAAATGAGTTGATACACCTTTGGAGCTTAACTGTAAGTTGAGTAAGGACGAGGGTGGTCTTCTCCTTGATGCTACTTTATATTGGCAGCTTGTAGGTAATCTTATCTACCTAACCATGACTAGATCGGACATTTCCTATGCAGTCCAGATCGCGAGTCAGTTTATGTCTATTCCACGTCAGCCTCACTTTTTTGCAGTTCTCCGGATTATTCTTTATGTCAAGGGCACTCTTCACATGGATTATTTTTCTCATCTTCCTCCTCCACTTAGCTCCGAGCTTATGTAGATGCCGATTGGGCAGGTTGTCCTGACACTCGTCACTCAACTACTGGCTGGTGTATATTCCTCAGTGATTCCCTGATTTCTTGGAAATGCAAGAAACAACAAACAGTTTCCAAGTCTGTTGAGGGCCCGAGAATAGGATCTTGTCACGGGTCGGTCCACGGGGAAAACCCCCTGTTTTCCCATGTTCCTTTCTGTTCGTGATGAACCTATCTTGGCGCCTTTGGTGATTTGTCCAAGAGATCACCAACTCTCCTAACTCACTTGTTGACTGAATAATTTGATGATTTCATTCAATAAGGGTGTCTCCTTAAATAGGAGATTACAAGAGTCCTAATCTGAGGGAGTCTCCTTGTTGAATAGGGAGACTTCCAGTTCTATCTTGCTAAGGATAAGATAAGCTAATCCTAATCTGATAACTTACTAACAAGATTAGATAAGAGCAATAAAATAAGATAAGAACAAGCAAGATAAGCTAATCTAATCTGGATGAGACTGCTGCTGCCGAACTGGGTAGACTGAGAATCACTGAATCATTACTGCTGTTGCCGGCGGCGATGGTATGTCTTCCCGAGGAATGCGTCCATAACATTACTCCCCTCCTGGACTAAGAGCTTGTCCTCAAGCTCGGATTCCGGGTATGTGGCCTGGAACTCTGTCAATGGGATCCATATGGCTTTGGCCGATGGTAAGTTACACCATTCCACCAAGACTTCAAGAACTCCTCGATTGAAACGAGAGCGGAGGAGAACTTTCGGTTGGGGGATCAGTTTGCCATCTTTCAGGGGTGGTA